GAGCCGAGGGGAGAAAAAAAAGTCAAACTCGTCGCGGAATAAGGTGAGCTGTTCCATCTTCCCCCCTCCCCCCTGCCAAGTTTCACTTACTTCGCGAAGAAAATCGCGGTGTCGCCTTTTCGACAAATCCTCCATTAAAATCGGAGAGTGAAAATCGTATTTCCAATTTTACGATGTAAATTTTATTATCGTAAATTATTACATCGAGGCTGTTCATTATTATTCTTCCATCGATCCCAAACAAGTTCCAACCAAGTTCTTCAATAAACAAGCTCTCAAATATAAAGTAACGACGTTGTGGGTGAACGGGTTGGAGGAGGATTGCATACACGATACAATTGGTACAAACGGTGGGATTGAACTAATGATTGCAGAAGATGCCACGCAAGCGACGCGCCTCGACGCCGACATTGGAAGCGGACGAAGACGAATTCGCATCCGAGGGGAAGTACAGCAAGGATGATTTGGAGAGCCGTGCGCCGAGGAACGCGGCTAACGCTAGGGAACGGGCTCGAATGAGGGTGCTAAGCAAGGCGTTTTGCAGATTAAAAACGACTTTACCTTGGGTACCGGCCGACACGAAACTCAGCAAATTGGACACCCTCCGCCTGGCGGCTACGTACATCGCTCATCTTCGAGCGGTTCTCAGAGACGACACGGACGCGCATTCCGAGACTAGATCTTTGTCTTTGGCTCTAGTAAGTTTTTATTTGAAAAAGAAAAGGGAAAAAAATAGTTATTTACAATAATTGTCTGATTGAATTGAAAAGAAGGATAACTCGAGGTTTGTCGATTCGTTTCAAGTTTTTCTTATTGGTTTTTAATCTGACGTAACGATCTTGTTACTGATAATTTATTTGATTATATATATATATTATTATTCGATTTTCAAATCAAATTTCTTTCTTATTTTATCTTGATTTGTTTCGTATGGTATTTTGTAATTTTTTTTTTATTTTTAACTTACACAAATGGGTCATATATCGCAACATTGTTGACGAAAAATTATTATTATTATTATTATTAAGAAATTTTGAAATTTTTAAACAGCAAGCGGAAAATAAGTGGAGCAAGGTATTTTTTTTTTGCTTCTTTTTTTTTTTTTTGCATAATTGCAATCTTTCGTGTCACGATTAAAGAGCCGTGAAACAACAAAGAATCCAGGTGGATCCAGTCGGCGTCATAACGTCATTTTCTTAGAGACGTTCTCTGTTTACGTCTGTCCAGGTGGATCGAATCACTTTCAAAGCTTCCTCCACATCCTTTTCCACCATTAATTCTAAATTAGTACCATTATTCGAAGAACGATCGTTTATTCCTTTTTGCATTCAAGAATCAATCGAAATTATATTTTCTCTCTTTCTATCGATCCAATGATAAAATTATTAAAAAAAGAATTACATAAATTCAAAATTATTAAAAAAGTATGCGATGAAAAAACGCATAAAAGGAAAAAAATTTTTTAAATTAAAATATCTATTTCGATGTCTTCTGAAAAAATTAGTAATTAAAAAGAGAAATTTTATAAATATTTTTCTTATATTTTTGTCGTAGTCATGGCCGTTTACTTTTCAAAGTGGTAACGCTTCCATGTTGATGAACAACAGTTGTAACGTATCATCGTCAACTTCATCGAGTCCTAATCAGTACCGTGGTCAGCAGGGAGCACACGAGATCCAGAATTTCCATCATTCTGGACATCATCAAGCCATGTCACTACGTCACAATCACGAGTCGCTTTCCTATTTCTAATAAAGCTTTTTTATCGAAGGGTTAAAATACGAGAAAAGAACATTCTGTTCGTGAACAAAAAAAAAGAAAAAAATTTCTTCACTTGCAACAGCGTTATTATATAAAATCGTGAAAATGAAAATTTATATTTATTTCAAAGTGCCTTATCGTTTTTACTATTTATTGATCTATATTCATTTTAAGAACATTTATTGTAATATCTTTAGATTAGATCACATTATTGTAACCAAAGCGTAAATACTAGTCCAATAAAATATTTCTATACAGTTATAAACTGCAATTATTATGTATCCTTTGGAATTATTTCCACGGTCAATTTATCCACAACGCGAAGAAAAATTAAATATAGAATTGTCTTATAATAATCATACATGGTATAAGATTTTTTAATTAATAATTTTATTTAATTTCAAAAATATTAATTTCGCGGAAACTTCAAAGTATTGTTCGAAAGAAAAAAAAATTAATGCAGCTTCCGGAATGGAAACAGAGGAAAAAAGACGTGGTAAGGAAAGAAGGATAAAGAACATCAAGTTAAATAAACAGCACGAAGGGCCTTTTGTGTAAACCTGAAACTAAAATAATATATCTCGTTCCATCTACAAATCGACCAAAGTCGAGCGTATCGTTTAGGGCCCTCATATGTCAATACAAACCACCTCTCGGATTTTATGAATCATATATTTCTCCACATTTGTATATCCTCGTTTCTTACAAATGTTTTTCATTTTTATTTTACTTTTACTCTCTGTGAATTTCTTCATTTCACGCGAATTATCTTAAAGGAATTTTCTTCTTAAAGAAAACTATTATATTGTAAGAGATTATTAATTTAAATCTTTTTCTCTTAAGAAAAAAAAGGAAGAAAAATAGAGAAGATTTTTAATCGATAAATTGTACAACGATGCAATAAAGTTAATCAGAAATCAACGCCATCTTTTGAGCGCATAAATTTATAGAGTGACTGTATAGAAAAGAAAAGCAAATGGTGGAAGATAAAATAAAAATTATAGAATCAGCACCATTTTCAGAATGCAAACGAAACACAAGAAGACAAGAAGGGCAAATACTAGGAGAAAAATAGAAATAAGAATTAACATTCAATACCATCTTTCGAATATAAAAGACACTATTCCAAAAATAATTAAAGATGGCGCCAATTCTTAATTCTTATTCTATCTTACCATATTCCTAAAAAGATATCTCTGGTATTCGAGAGATGGCGTCAATTCTTAATTCTTATTCTATTTTACCATATTTCTGAAAAGATATCTCTGGTACTCAAGAGATGGTGTTAATAGTTATTTCTTACCTTATATCTATCTTTTTCTTTGTATTTGCCTTCTTTATCTCTTTGTGTTTCATTTGTGGCACTCTGGAGATGGCGCTCAATCCACAATTTTTATCCTATTTCCATCCTTCTCGTATTACTTGCTCTCCTTGTCTGTAGTTATTCTACAAAATTTTTACGCTCGAAATACTAATGTCGATTTCTGATTAACTTTATTGCATCGTTATCTAATTTATTAATTAAAAATCTTAATAGAATTTGTTTCATTTTTATTCGTCGCAAATACATCTTATATATATTTTTTACATTCCATTACTTTCATCCTATACAGTCTTTTAACAAAGCAAGATAATTTTAAAATAACTAAGAGAAAGAATGAAAGAACCTGTTCTTCTGTCACTGCACGGAAATTATGGTTCGAATCTTCAAGGAATGTCATTGTAACACAGTGCGTATGCGAATCCTGAGGCGAATTCCTATCATTGATGATTGAAAGAAAAATGCATGCACGCATCTTTCTTGATTGCGATCAAGGTCTCTAGAAGTCCTCGTCAATCGTTTCTTGGAAATATAAATATCGAACGTTTTAAAACGATTTCTTTGTGTAAAGTCTCTTCTTCTTTTCTTCAAAAATTAAACAAAATTGATCCGATCATTCAGTAATTATTATACAGTAAGAAATTACTGTTATTGTTATTAAATAACTTTTTATTTTATTCATACAACGCGTTCAAAAAATTGCACACAAAATTATAAAAATAACATAAGTTACACATAAGTACATTTCCAACAACTTAACTTCGCTTTGATAAGTGCTTGCGCATTAACACCATTGATTCACGGATTCAACTTTGCACGTCATAATTATTGTCGTATTAACGATGGTCACACCTTCTCGCGTTAGAAATTCAAATGATTTGACACATATGTTTTTTTTAAGTGCACCTTATATAGCACGTTCAATAAATACTAGTTTCGATTCATTTGAATAAAGTTGACTTACGATTACCGCAGGATATTCTTGACATCGTTTTGATGGACATCATGCGGTATTCTTGTTTCAAAGTATTCTTCGAGATAAATATTTCTGAAACAAATTATTAAAAAACGATATTTATTAGTCTAATCTAATCAACTTTTATTACAATCGTCGTGATATAATCACGTAATTTTCACAATTTATACCTTTATATAAATTATTCTTCGCCTAACCTCAAAATTTCGAATCGCAAAAAGTAGGAAAATGTTTTTGGAGAAGGGATTTTTTCGACGGATTTCAAGGATTCAAGCATTCCATCTCTACAAATTACACACATTCAATTTGCCTGAAATTTTTTCCCGCGTAGACCACTCGTGTAATCGTTCGAAACATAAACGACATATTTTCTTAAACGATAGTGCTAGACATTCATAGTCCTTTAAACCCGGGGATATAGTTGCGTATACGTGTGTAGTCGTTACGCGCGGTTATGCGCGCGTATACGCGGCGCGTTTAAATTCAAACCGTTCAATGGTCAATAAAAGTTTATTCCTACACGCGTGGCAATGAAAATTTATCGCATGGCTGTGATATCATGCGAAACGAAACGCAGGTGCGCCGGATCGTTGCCGCGAATTCACTTGTGGTTTCTACAAAAACATAGAAATGCGCGCCCCCTTTCACGCCGGCTCACCGCCATTAAACCGTGTTCCTCGGCCTTCCCTTTTTGTACCTTAAAAACGATGTTTTCGATGTTATTATATAACTATTTAATTTCAACTCATTCCGTCCTATTGTTAACGCGTCTGCTTATATATTTTATACCTTTGGCAAAACGATGAAAGAAGAGAAGACGTTTAAAAAGTTCGCAGAACTTTAACTATCGTTCGTTATTCTTATAGTTTATACTCGTAATCCTTATTTTAGAATTAAAGTTTTACTGTTATTATTTATCGTTGCATAAAATTTAAAGATAGGGGAATATTTAAAACGTTAAATCCTCTAAAGCGGCTTGTCTATGTAAGAGATGTAATTTCCATTTGACAAAGAGCGTGATTACGAATCATGTAATTTCGCAAAGCGAAGTTTCCTCGAAAAGCCATGAACGGAAATTACGCTTTGCGAGTACTGTTATCGTGTCCTGAGAAAAAAAAATGACCACTGATAAGAACACACGTGTTCGAAAGACGAAACGATCGCTCCCTCGAGTCGTATTAACTCCACGCAATCGAGGAATGTCGCCTTCGTGCGAGTGCAGAAGCACCTAAAATTGCGAATATATATATATATATATATACATATTTCAAAACTTGTGAAAAGTAAATGTACCTGAGTCACTTAATTTTTTTATCGTCACGATAAAATACGCGAGTATGTCGCAAAGTTGACGCAAAATTGACTAGAAATCGTGAAAAGAAAATTATTCCAATATAAGATTTTATATTTGAAATTGAGAAAAATCAATAAATTGTATTCAAAGTATAAAAAATTGAAAGTGTGAAAAATTATTTTGGCGTACATTAAATCGATTAAATCTTAGTATCAATCTTTGTGTATCGTCATCGTTTTTTTTTTTTTGTTCACCAAGGACATGTTCCAATGTTCTACTACGATTCTTTGCAATTTAATCGCCAGTAGAACTAAAAGATTAATGACTTTCGATAATGTTCAATTGATTGCAGAAACTAAATTACACGATTTTCTAATAATAAATGTACAATGATGCAATAGATACATAATCTTGAAATTTTACTCTCTACTTGAAATTGAAAGATAAAAGCGATAGAGATGTGTATCAAGGTGTGTACATACCATACATCATTGAAATCACATTAACCATCTGACTAGTAAATATATAATTATCGATAGTAAACAATCGAAATTCAGTAATTCATTTTTATAGTTTTAATGATTATTATCGGTGATACGATGATTACTTTTTTTTTGCTCGATAATAGCCACGTGTCGATAAGTATATCAAGTGCATGTGTACTCGTTCATTTTACTCGTGGATTTATTTTTAAAAAATCTTAGAAATGATCAGAGATATATTAAACCTAAAAAAAAAAAAGTTAAAATTATTCAAACGTGATTATCGTTTTGCGATCATTTAAAGAATAATCATAACACGAGTGTTATACATGTATAGAATATTAAGTGAATATTGATTCATTCGCAACTTTTAAGTAGGTACATTTATTGTAAACCACGATTAAGATATCACATCGACCCAATATGCAAATCCAAGCCACTGTCCCACAAATCTTATATCCGCACTGTTATCGTTCTTGTTAAATACGTGACAATTCCATGTCTATAATAAATTAAATCCGCTAAAGCTGCTGGTATCGAACGATTATCGAAAAATTGATCACATTTCGATCAAATAAGTGTTTTCTACAAATTGACACGTAATTATATTACGCAGAATTTTAATTCTAAAAATATTTTCACTTCTAATTATAATTTGATCAATTAAATCGTTTACCATATTTAAATGTATCGATACACTTTTACAATTAAGTTATTTTTCAATCAAATAATAAAGTTTATAAGCAAGAACGAGACTACAAAATATAAAGGTTAGATTTACCATATTGTTTGAAGCTACGCATTCGAAAGATAAATATAATCTCATTAAGTTAACAATTATGAAAAATTTAAAAATTATACAATTATATGATTATTTTACAAAATTGTTTGGCATAACAACGTACAACGCGATTATTTTTATTTCGTACAGCTCACTTCTTTCTATCGCAGTTAGAAATACGACCACTTCCTTCCTGTTCATGTAAAGGCATTCCTGCCAACGTGCTAACAAAAATTTCACTCGATTAATTGGATGATACATGTCACATTTTATTCTCAACCAATCACAATTCTCTTCCAAGAAACGTTATACAAACTTTTCGAGAGCAACAAGCATTCGATTCTCGAATAATAATCTTTGACTAATCTGAAAGAATCGAGCACTTTTTTAACCTGGAAACCTATTTTACATGCTAATCCATTCCGCTCGTCTGTTTCTCGAATGGCGTTATACACTGCCGAAACACCGATTCGACGTAGGTACTTAACAGGTATAATAAATGTAAGGTCGCGTAATTTGCATAACGACCTCACCTAAAGTCACGGTCGTCGTGTAGCAAATCTTATAAATATCACGTGGAAAAGGTCAGACATCGAGGAGAACGGTGAATAATCGTGTCGCATTGGCCGACAATGGCTGCGGACAATGGGTGTAAAGGTAGAAAGTAAAGGCGTATTCGTCGGTCTGCAATCTGCTCCCCGAATCATTACGCTCGGATAAACCGCTTACATCATAATCAGCCACTCATTATACCTTTCCTATATTACTCATTTCGCTTCTCAGAGCATTCGCTTCGTTGCATATTCACGAGCGATCTTTTACGACCGGCAACCGGTGCATTTTGTTTCCTCTTTCATTTCGAAGTATTCTAGAACGAATATATTATCGCATATGTATGTGTGCGTGTCTGAATTTCGTTGTATTCTAAAAACTACATTGATTTTCCATTACGATATAACTAACTTCTATAATTGGTATTCTTCGAAAATCTATTTTTGATTATTTATGTAGAAAAATTATTTATATATTTTAATATATTGCTAATATTCTTACTGAATTTCATACTGTTACATTTACTTTATTCTATTTATTCTATTAAAATACGTATAAAAAGGAAAATAGATCTTGTTTGTTCTAAATTGTTTGGCTACTGTAAAAGAAGAAAATACTGATTTACGATAATTGAAAACTACAGGCAATTTTCGTAATAAATTTCCATTAACGAATTTACATTCTGTTTCGTATCGATCAAGAAGTTTTCTGTAAACCGATTGGGAAAGTATAAGGACAAATGGATTTTTCAAGAATCCGTGTTGCAAGTAAGGTTAGTTTGCATGAAAATCGCTTGAAAGCGTTGAAATGTCGTTGGGAAAACGGAAAGATTCGTAAGAACGGAAAATGGGCGCCGATCGGTGGCAGAAGCTTGACTCGATGAGAACATTGGCGTGCTCGCCGTTGAATCGCAATTACGGCCAAATGCAAATTACCACGCGAGCTCTGATGCTCGCTACGAACTGGTTCAACGTGTCATTATTGTTTATTAGCGCGAACGCTTGCCGTTTTTCTTTCTTTCTCTCTCGTGCATAACATCATATTAAGAATAACCGCGAGGCCATATACGTTGAACAATAATCCCACGCTCTTTCCTACTAAGGTTTCCTTTTCCTCCGGACGATAACGAGGGAAAATCGTTCTCTATTTTTGACATGGAAGTTCGTTTGTTACGCGCTCGTGAAATTCGAACATTGAAAATGTAGGCTATTAGTTTTAGAATTAATTCTATCCAGACTCGAGTGAGTGTGCAAAATTGTAGATTTTTAGAAAAATGTTATTCGAAATGATTAAAATTTCTCTTTGTTTGATCAGACAGTTTAATTTACGTGCTGGAGAACGATGAATGAATTTCCACCGATTTTTCACCGTAGCTCAGTTCCTTTCTACTACGAATGGCGCTCGTGCAATCGGAGCGAAAGAAACGCGAGACCGAGAGTCAACAACAGCTTGTAATCGCGCGAATTAACGCGCGTGAGTGCCGGTTGAACGCGACACGCGAGTGTCTATTCTTAAGAACTCCCATTGATATGCAAACTCAGCCACGGGTTGGCGCGCGCTAGATAAGCGTTATCAGCACGGCCTACCTACACACGCGTAGGCTCCGTGTACGTGGCGTTTCGAACAACTTCGTAAAGTTGTACTCCGATTACGTTAATTAAGTATCGTAATTTACGATTGCTCTCTGATTGAAAACGATCGTGCTATCGTCTACACGGATGCGTTTCGAATAAATTCACGTTTCGAACTTCTCTCCATCTTTGCTCCAATTTATATTCACCGTAATACAATTCCATCGTCGAAATAAAATTTCAACGCTGAATTGAATAACAAATTTTTAATTTTTAATTTTAATTTAAAAATTCGCTAAACATATGAAATTTATCCTGGAATGTAGTAATACGTCAGTTCTGAAACGGGGAACGGAAATAGGAAACATAATCCGCGATTAGTAATTACTTTTAACGGCACTTTCTCGTCCGGTTGTCCTCCCCGTTCCGCTCTAAACATCCGAGAAAAGAGTTCCTTCGCTAGAAGAAGCTGTTAGAAATTGAGACGACTTTCGTAAACGAAAGAAGAAGAAAAAAAAATTAAACGGAGAAGGTTCCAAGTTCCAGGTGTTCCGGCTCATAAACTTGCTGAAGAGGATTCTTTTGATTTCTTTTCTCGTCGAATGGCAAAAGAATTTTAAAAATGAATACCGGTAGTGAATTTTATGAATGTAAAAATCTTTGCACGAATGGCAAAAAAAAAAAGATATTTTCAAACGACGATGAATAAATTCAAGGAAATATAGATAAAAAAAAAAAGGTGAAAAAGAATATGAATATCTTGTAAAGTGTTATTTATCGATCGAACGTCTAAAGATCGATCTGAAATATATGAAATCTAATATCCATAACCTGTGCTGGAAATAGCACCGATATGTTGCGATATCATCTATTAACAACTCGAAATCATCGAGAAAATAAATTTTCCGGTTTCGATTCATTTTTCTTATTTTTCCTTTCTTTCTTTTTTTTTTCTTTCCTTTTTTTTTACGTTTGCGTTTCTCTGGAACTGTGAGCAAAAGTAATTGAGAAATTAGTTTTTCTCGAGTCGATTGCGCAAATGAGGAATGAAATTCATTTTTCTGTCGCGTGGAATACTTTATTCGATTAGAAAATGATAGCATCGAACGATTAGAGTTGGAATAACACCGGATGTTTTCAAGATAGCGCGACTCGAACATGTGGAATAAATAATGGGCTGAAAACAACTCGTTCGACAATGGCGTTTTTTTTAAACCTGCTATCGATGCTCGATTGCATTCAATGACGTTTTAAATACCAATCTCTCGTTGGCGTCACTAAATCGTATTAAAAATTGATCAGAACTGAAATAACTTACGCCGATTGGTTTACACCCAGAAAGAGTTTATTTCGAATCTTAATAAGAACGTTGAACGTACATTTCGTAATTCGATTTAATTTGGGACTAACGTAATCGTGATTATATATTCAGATAAATAAATCTAACTTTCTATCTCTAATTTCTGCCCCCCTTTTTTTTTATCCAATGTTCATTTGTAATCGAATTCAGCTTATTTACATAACAAGCATATTATCGTATCGTTTGAGGTATCCGGTAAAGAACCGGTAGTTTTGAAAATTATTGCAATTTATTTATCACCTTGCAATTATAAAATATAACTTGATTACTCAATTTATAAGGAAACCGCATAGTCAATAAGCTTAAAATATAACATGCACACAAATTATATTAATCTTTAATCCATATTCATTAGGGAAAAAAAAAAAAAAAAAAAAAAAGAATTTAAACAACGGTAAAATCTACGAAGTGAACAAAAATATAATTACTTTTCAAAATGTTATAATCCTCGTATAATAATTTCCAAGAAGAACGAGAAGAATTATTATACTTTCGTATCTTGCTATTTCTCTCTCTCGAAACCGGATGCACGACCTTCTCTGCTAAAATGATCTTCGTCTTCGTCTTCTCTCAAAATTACTCTATCACGTTGCCAAAACGTTGTCGAAACACCTTCGTTTTGGATCGTCCTTCGCCGAAAACAACGAGCGATCTAATCGGGAGCGGGAGAAAGTTGTGGAAACGAAAGAAAAAAGAAAAAAAGAAAAGAAAAGGAAAGAACATGGCGAAAAAGGTAATATAATCCGGTGGAATCGGACTCATGACCTTTTCGGTGGCGGCTCTCGGTGGGAGATAAGGACACGGGGAATGCACTGGGCCGATTTGTGTCCCGGGGCCGATGGCGGAAGG